CCCCAAAACCCCAAAACCCCAAAACCCCATTCAACTCTTAATCTCAAATTCTGAAGGAAAAATAATAATTTTAATGGAGAAATTAAAATCTCTACGTGTCTTACTCTTAGTTGCACTGGGCATACTCTCATCAGTATGTTCAAGTAGCTTTAACTGTGAAAGATTCAACTAAGATTTGCTTGACGATGATGCTGCTCTAAATGAGGTAACCAAGCTTAATGATAAGGAGACTACCTTTGAATTATCGTAAGATTTTTTAACTTCAAATCATTTCCTTAGTTGTTTAAAGCCATTAGTCTAGAATAATCTCTTTAACACATCAAACTACTTGTTGAATAACTACTTATTTAACAAATACTCTAATTAAGGTATCTCAAAATATATCCCTTTATAGCTGTAATATAGAAATTTACTTAAACATCATTGAGGGAACAAAAGAAGTTAGGAACTACTATGACACTTTAGTCAATAGGTTGCAGCAAGCAAAGAGAAAGCCAATATTAATGAGACCTCCATTTTAGTGGTCTTAAAATCTTCACTATATCTATATTGAGGTTAAGTATGCCTATCGTCATGATGTCTCTGGGTGTGCTTCTCTATTCAATGAGAGTGTGATCGCGAATGAAACTTCTCTGTCAATACAAGCTTTTTGCATGGAGCAAGATAATTTCCTAAACTTCTAAGTATCTTTTGACTTCTGGGCTCCAGTTAATGGCTCATCTCTCAAATGGGAATATCAGCCAGTTGGCAAGCACTACATTACAATAGAGAAATTGACTAAACCAGGTAGATGGAGAACACTGCACAAAGAAGGCTCACCAAAGCCACCTATGATGAAACTTTGGTTTGAAAAGCATTAAAAGCATCACTATCAACTATATGAATTTGAAGATGATGAAATCGAAGATTTCGAAGGTTGGGATCTAATTGATAACCCTGAAGAACAAGATCAAAATGATATGGCATGGCTATTCCCCTAGAAAGGTCCAGGTCAATTTAAGGAACTTTCAAAGAAGAAAAAGAAGGGTAAAGGAAAGAATAAAAAGAATAAGGCTAGTAGTAAAAAGTCTAAATAGAAATGATTTATTCTAAGAGAACATATCCTTAGATTGATTAACCGCATATCTTGATTTAATCTGATTTCAGTTAAAATAACATTAAGCCAATTCTTTACAAGATTGAAATATTAATTTCATAATTATCAGAACTGAATTCATAAGCCTTATCTCCAAAAAGGCATTGCTCTCACTGACACTCCTAATAGATTTCCTCCCATAGTCATTGCATCTCTACCTTTATCTTACTTGGGATCAAATTTCTCTCGCTTTTTATCCTTCATTGCTTTTGTCTCAACGTTCAATTTACTTTCAACCTTTTCTTTCATTCCTTTTGCCATTTTTTCTTTTAATAATTCCATTTTGTATTCTCTTTCCTCCTTTTCTTGCTGTTTATTTATGATGAGCAAATGCTTCTTTTGGAAGATTTCCTCCTCCCTCTTAAATATTCTCTCTTTTTGCTCTTAACTCATAAGCTGCTCTTTCTACTTTCTTTTCTCCATTTCTTTGATTTATTACTCCCTCTACTTTTCCATATCTTTTTTAAATTTAAACTCCTCCACTTACTCTTTTTTAGCCCTCCTCTCTTCTTCGAGCTTTTATTTCAAACGCTATTTGTTTTCCTCTTCTTATCTCTTTTTTTCTTCTATATCTTTTTTCTTATTAACTTCTTTATCTTTTTTCCACTTATCAAGTTCTTACTTTAACTTTTCTCTTTCCTCAAAATTACCTGCATTCTTATTATTCTCTTTAGAACCAGTACCATCACCCAAGATTAGTTCAAGATCACTGTTTATTCGATTAAACAGTTAATTTTGATTATCTATTTTATGAACTCTTTCATGCTATTGCTTCTTCTTTGCATCTTTATAATTTGATAGTAAATTTTTCTTCTGTTCAGTCAAGTCCAAATATTTATCATATCTGATGATATGTTCCTTTATTGCCTCATCATCAATTGTTGGAACTGCTCTCATAATTTCCTGCATAAATGCAATGGTATAGGTTTTATTATTGTGCTTAGTCCTTATTCTAAGAAAATCTTTGTGATCAGCTGCATCCCAACCACAATTTAAGCCTCCATTCGCCATAAGTTGATCATCTATTCTCTCCAATTTGTTCTTTATTAAGTCAAGTTCACTTGGATAATCTTCATCTTCACTCTATCCGAGAGATGATTCAATTTCATTCTTTTGAGTTTTCTATTTAAACAGTCTATTGCTTACACTACTTGCTCTTTGCCCAACTTTCTTAGTGTTTCCATTAGTAATCTCATTAATAGTGCTCTTTTCAAGCATGTACTGATCAAACTTCTCCTCCCACATCTTGAGGTCTTTTTCAATCAGCATCTCTTCATCAAATAATTGCTCGTATGCTCCTCTGCTTTTTAATTTGAAATTTTTCAGATTCTGCTCAATACCTTTTACTTTAGAGTGTATTTTATCAAGGTAAGAAGGATCATTTTTACTCTAATTGATCATCATCTTTGCCTGATTAATCTCTTATTTCTATTTGTCTATGACTGCTTATATCTAACTGAATTCCTTCTTTATTTGAATTTCATTTTTCTTTTCTTCCTTCTCTACATCCTCCATGAAGTCTTTTAATTCTCGCTTTAAATTGAGTAAAGGTCTATATCTCTCTCTGTCCTCAAGAATATAGTCCTTCTTAAGTTATTTTAATTCTCGAACCCATTCTTTCTTGTCGAAATCCTAAGCTACTCCTCCTCTATTTTGATTTTGAAGCAATCTTTGATTTAGCATATTTTGATTTAAATTTGTATTTGTTTTATTGCTAAAATATTATTACCTTTTCAATGATGGGGTTTTGGGGTTTTGGGG